CGTTTCTGCAGTTGCATCGTTTAATTTGCATGTGTGCTTTCAGATTGCCTGTAAACAATTGAGTAGAGTAGTGAAGCAAAAAGCTTTTATATATTACACTCGTTTGGTTATTTAATTTATTTAAAGAGATCATTTTATGTATCGTTATTAAGAATCTGATAGAATTATTTTACATGTTAAAAATTCGTTAGATGTAGTGTAAGGTGAATGGGTGCTGCCCATGGAGAGACCGTCCGCAGTGTCGTCCTGATGGGGTCTGGACCCCCACCCCGCTCCCCCATTACTCCCCCACACCAAGCATGCAGCTCGAGGCTCACTGCTGACCTCCTCTGCTCCGCCTTCATCTATCTGCTCCATCCTTTGCTTTAGCCAGACCATCCCCACCCTTTTCCCCCTGTCAGCCTCTTGTTGTCGTAGCCTATCTGCTCCTGCAGAATTTCTGCTCCAAAACACGCACTGATTTGGCTTTAAATTACATTTGTCTGTGTCTGTGTCTGTGTGTCTGTGCATGTGTGTGTTTATACACACTCACAAGCGCACACACACACACACACACACACACATATATACACCAGATTCGCTGGCTTTATTAAACCTGTACATATCATGGAGACAAAAACAAATCACACATCAGACCATTCCTCTGTCGTCTTGGTATTTTTGGTTGTTCCTGGATAACACGTAATGTCTGTGTGTGTCTGTGTGTGTGTGTGTGTGTGTGTGTGTTTGTGTGCGTCTCACCCTTGTAAAGTTCCTGTGATGCAGCCAAGGTCATGACAAGGTCTCCTCCCAGAGGGGAGCTCTGGTGTCTCGGGACATGACCGTAAAGCACATGACCTCCATTTGGCGACCTGGCCTCCTGAACTTGATGATGTAACTGCCCCACCCCCCGTCCTCCACTCCTGACCCTAATCCACCTGCTTCCTGTACAGCTGGCCACAAACAGCACCATAAAAAAACCAAAAGTTGTCCCTCCCGGTTGGGAGTAGCGCGTATTCTGCCCACAGGAACTTTCCCCACGGTGGTACGGTGACGCAGCGTTTAATTCCTCTTGTGTTGATCCCACAGTGCATGTGTGCTTTAATATCTGCCACAAAAACACCCCCCCCTCCATTTTTTGTCACATTCAAGAACCAAAAGGGTAGGTAGGCCATCCCAGCACAGGACAGGCCAGCCCAGGACAGGCCAGCACAGGATAGGCCAGCCCAGGACAGGCCAGCCCAGGACAGGCCAGCCCAGGACAGACCAGCACAGGACAGGCCAGCACAGGACAGGCCAGCACAGGACAGACCAGCCCAGGACAGGCCAGCCCAGGACAGGCCAGCACAGGACAGGCCAGCACAGGACAGGCCAGCACAGGACAGGCCAGCCCAGGACAGGCCAACCCAGGACAGGCCAGCACAGGACAGGCCAGCACAGGACAGGCCAGCACAGGACAGGCTAGCCCAGGACAGGCCAGCNCAGGCCAGCACAGGACAGGCCAGCACAGGACAGGCTAGCCCAGGACAGGCCAGCCCAGGACAGGCCAGCACAGGACAGGCCAGCACAGGACAGGCCAGCACAGGACAGGCCAGCCCAGGGCCTCTCAATGAGCTAAAGCTGCTCTAAAGGTGTTTCTTACATTGTCCCTATGTTCCCACTGGATGTGGGATGAGGTCAGCGAACTAAAAAGATATCTGGGGAGGGGGGTGGTCAAGAAAGTTTCAAAGAGTTAGCTCACAAGTCCACAGAGTCAGTTCACAGGTCTATACAGTCAGTTTATGGGTCTATACATTTAGCTTACGGGTGTATAGAGTCAGCTCACAGGTGTATAGAGTCAGCTCACGGGTTTATAGAGTCAGCTCACGGGTTTATAGAGTCAGCTCACGGGTGTATAGAGTCAGCTCACGGATTTATAGAGTC